AAGGGAAAGATTTTCACAAAGCTGGACCTAAGGGGGGCGTACAACCTGATACGAATAAGGAAGGGGGATGAATGGAAAACCACCATGTTCACCCCTTTAGGGGCATTTGAATATTTAGTTATGCCCTTCGGCCTACAAGCAGGCTCCGCAACGTTTCAATCGTTTATGAACCACGTCCTGGGGCCTTTGCTTTACAAGAATTGTGTGGCCTTCTTAGACGACGTGTTGGTGTATTCTGAGAATGAGGAGCAGCATGTGAGAGACGTCAGAGAAGTGTTGAGCAGGCTGCAAGCCAACCAGCTGTGGGTGAAACTGGAGAAGTGTCAGTTTCATACCAAGGAGGTGGAATTCCTGGGGTATCGCCTGTCTGACAAGGGATTGGCCATGGATCCCGGCAAGGTCCAGGCGGTGCTGGAATGGAAAACACCCAAAACAAGGAAGGATGTGCAGAGGTTCCTAGGATTTGGGAACTTCTATCGTAAGTTCATCCGAAACTTTGCCCACCTGACGGCGCCCATTACGGACTGTCTCAGCAGTAAGAAGAAGTTCGTTTGGACTGAGGAGGCGGAGCGAGCATTTGAGGAACTAAAAGGGCCTTCGCCTCGGAACAACAACTCCTGCATGTGGATTTACAAAAACCGATGAGAGTGGAAACTGACGCATCAAACAGAGCGATTGGGGCGGTGCTTCTGCAGCCAGGGAAGGAGGAGTCAGAATGGAGACCGTGTGCCTTTTTTTTCGCGAAAGCTGAACAAATCCGAGAGGAACTACACGGTGTATGACCGAGAACTACTAGCCATTCATGAGGCGTTCCGGAGATGGAGGCACCTGCTAATTGGCGCACAACATAAAGTGCAAGTGTGCACTGACCACAAGAACCTAGAGTATTGGAGGACGGCACGAGTGCTCAACCAACGGCAAGTGAGATGGGCCCAGGAGTTCTCCAAATTTAACTTTGAGATTTGTTACGTGCCAGGCTCAGAGAACATTAGGGCGGACGCTCTCTCACGCAAACCTGAATATTTGGAAGGGGAGGGAGCACCGAAGAGAGACATGTCATTCCAGAGGACCGCTGGGTGTGTGGGGCGGCATTGGTGGGACAAAGAGAACTGGTAGAGGAAACAGAGAATGATGAATACGCCCAGAATAAGCTCAGAGGTCTTAGGGGTGAGGGAGTGGAACCAGGGGGTTTCGAGGAAAGAAATGGAGCTTTGTATTACAAAGGGGCACTGTATATCCCGGAAGGAGACTTAAGGGGGAGGGTACTCAAGCAGTTGCACGACAGCCCCACGGCGGGGCATTTTGGACAACACAAAACCATGTGGTTGGTCACCAGGGAATTTTGGTGGCCTAAGGTGAGGGAAGATGTACGTGAGTATGTAAGAGGGTGCGAGCAATGCCAGCGAGCCAAAGGGGAAAGGCGGGCGCCGGCGGGACTATTAGAACCCTTACCAACCCCAGAACGACCTTGGGAGGCAGTGTCGATAGATTTTATGACTGATCTGCCGAAGTCCAAAGGGAAAACAGCCATCATGGTGGTGGTAGACCTACTAACAAAGATGTGCCACTTTGTAGCTTGCTCGCATGCAGTCACGGCGGAAGAGACAGCGAAGTTATTTGTAGAACACATTTTTAGGTTGCACGGAGTGCCATTGAGGGTGGTCTCAGACCGAGGAAAACAATTTACTTCCAGGTTCTGGAGGAAGCTCATGAGCTTACTGCAGGTGGAGGTCAACTTTTCGACTGCCCGGCACCCTGAAACCAACAGGCAGGCGGAAAGAGCAAACGGTGTCCTCCAGCAATACCTGAGGTGTTATGTCAATGACAGAGAGAATGACTGGGTAGAAAAGTTGGCGCTGGCGGAATTTGCCTACAACAATGCCGAGAATGTGTCCACAGGGATGAGCCCCTTCTTGGCTAATTATGGGTGTCATCCCAGGGCTTTCCCAGGGGGAGAAGGGGAGAGATGGAGCGTCCCGGCAGCCGAGCATTTTGTAGAAGAAATGGAAGCAATCCATCGTCAGCTCCAACTCAACTTAGAAAGGGCGAAGGAAGAATACAAGAGGCAGGCAGACAAGAACCGAAGGGAAGGTGAAACCATAAGGGTGGGAGATAGGGTGTGGCTGTCAACCCAAGGGTTGCCGTTCAAAGGAGGTTGTAAGAAATTAAGACCCAGGCGGTTGGGTCCCTTTGAGGTCATTCAACAGGTCAACCCAGTGGCTTTCAGGCTCCGGTTACCCAACCACATGAAACTGCACCCAGTATTTCACAGGTCGTTACTGTCACCGTACGAGGGGGGACGAGAAGGGATGGCCACTCGGGGACCGGTCATAGAAGAAAGAGAATGCAGCAGCCATGTGGCAGAAATCCTTGATGCCAGGTGGAAGGGGGATCAGGTGGAGTATTTGGTAGCGTGGGAAGGAGAACCGGAGTCAGAAAACACTTGGGTAATGGCCGAAGATATCAATGACGAGGTATTGATAGAAACGTTCCATCAAAGGTTCCCAAGGAAACCTCAGCCTGTGGAGAGGTTCCGGAGGGAATACTTTGGGACCACTGATGAGGAGGAGGAGTTGGAAGGATTCCCAGACTCGGAAGGGGAAGGGAGATGGACTCTGAGGAGGAGGAGTGCTTCGAGACCAGGAACCGCAACAGGTGGAGAGAAGTGTTCGAGACATCGGAAGATGAAGGAAGTTCATTCCGGGTTTTGCCTCCTCACCGCCCGTAGAGGAGGGGGCGAGAGGGGGTGAAGGGGGCCCTGGAGGGGAGGTGGATGTCAGGGAACTGCCATCGGACGGAAGGGAGGTGAAAGGGCTCACACAGGTTGGGAGAGACTCAGCAGCTGAAGAGGGGACCAGTAGGGGGAGAGAAGCTGAACTGAGGGAAAGTGAGCTGGGGGGATGGCTCAGAGACACTTCCAGCGAAAACAGTGGGGAGGTTTCCGGACCTCCTGTAGGGACACCCACTCCTCGCCGGAAACTGTCACGCAGAGAGTCCAGAAGACGTGTTTCCGTTAAGGAGCTTTTATGTTGGAAGCGATTACGAAAGCAACCACTGTCGGAATCTTCAAGTGACTAGAGGAGCCATGTCTGAGGGGCTCCGTCACAGACAGAGGTTTGTGGACTTGAACAAACTCTGAGGGGATACGATTTTACGCACAAGCAGCTCATCATCCCATCACACATACCTACAATACCCTTTTTGAGTTGAGGTGAATGTACACAATAATGCAAGTATGGTCACAGCATATATTTCTACACTGGTCTCAATGATATTGACATTTTTATATTCAATTCCTTTCCTGATGAGCCTAGGTGTGGAATTTGCCTTTTTCAAGACTGCTGTATGGAGAAATGTTGGAGGGTATGTATGTATGTATGTTGTATTTTAATGTTTGTTTTTATAAAGTTGTATTTATTGTTTAATGTGTTTGTGTACAAACACACACACACTCATACACACACTTAGTGTCGGGATCTCCGCTACGACCGAGCTGATAAAGCTCATTTCCTCCGGCCGAGCCTCTGGAATCACCCTGCCGACTATAATTAACAACCTGAGCCTCTGATAAGGCTCCAAGGCATGTTCCCCCATTCAGCAGAGTTTCCAGCAGCATGCGGAAGGATGAGATAGTATGAGCCACATGGCTAAAGAGTTTTATTATCTTCTACGCAGACAGCAAAGAAAAATACATCCTCTCTCAATGAAAGCAGAGAGCAACTGAAACGAACAAAGGAACAGGAAACCACTAACGTCACATCCATCTCCTGTCTCCCGTGTGACTTCCAACAGTATGGAATGTGTGGAATCGAAACAGAGCCTTGTGACTCTAAAGCACTGCTCAGTGGCAATCAGAAACTAACACTTAGTTGCATTTATTAATCTGGGGCTTTCTCCCCCCCCCCATGCTTCCCTAATTGCAATACATTTATTAAAAGATTTCTGCACTTGAAATACTGCCGTTTTGCACTAGACCAGGAGGAAATGCTCAAGCAGTGGGATAGCTCACTTGGCAGAGCATGAGACTGGTTTGTGGGTGCGAACCCCATGTTGGGCTAAAGATTCCTGCATTGCAAAAAGTTGGTCGGCCAGAAAATAAGGGATTGCCAGAAATGGAAACATAGTGTGTAGATTTGGGATTTCTGGGAGTGCCTCTTGTTAATTGCTTGACATTTTCAGTGGGAGGGTTATGCCACACATGGTGACCAGCTTCCACCACTCTTTAAACTAGTTAGTGGCGATCCCAGGTGAAAGAGGACTATTGGGCTCATGTCTTCTTTTCTGTTGTTAGGCGCTCTGGGAGCAGAATGCTGAACTAGAGGAGCCTTTGATGCAATCCAGCAAAAATCCTCTTATGTTCCTAACTCCTGAATCTCTCGCTGGCTCTCCAGAACTCTGCTAAACAGTAGTAGGCTGCACTGGGTGCAAATCTCCAAAAAAAGCAGCTACAAATACCCTCAGTGGACTGCATTTTAGAGCTTTCAACAATCTTTCCTCTTGATAAGTTGGGTGGGAACCTTTTTACTGTATTTGTTTGATCTTTTGTGATGCCCTTATGATATTGTAAACCACTCAAATATTTCTTTGAAATATAGAGTGGTATAAACATTTCATAAATCAATAAAATAACTAATCATTACCCATTTGTTCCTTTTAAAAACACTCCTCTTTGCCACTGCAGCTAACAAATATTCTTAATTTGATGAATACAGACACAAAACACAGTTTTTATTTGCCACACCAATTTATTTTGATTATGAACAAAGATAAATTTAGCCCTATACCATATTATCATGAGATAGAGCCCTCAAGCCCCACATTCCTACTTATCTATTCCCTGCATCCCTGAATCCCTTTCACCCTCCATTAAAAGCCAAATAGAGGATTCAGGAGTCCTATGCAGTAGCTCTTCCTCTCCCACCACCAGGCAAGCAACCTCTACCTCCACTGCTGCAAAAAACAGTGGGAACCAAAAGGAAGAAGACATTGTTCTCTCCTAACTACCCTTCAAAGTTCAGCTGCTCTAGGAGAGGCAGAGTATCACTGCATCGTGCTTTGGTTATAGTGCCTGAAAAGGCATAAAAATGCATTGAATTCTTGGCCATTGCACAAAAGGTTGGTGATGCACAGCCGTGGAAATCCTTTTCAGGAATTGTACTGTTATCTAGTAAAGAAAAAGAGACATTTTCACATGAGTTCCTGGGTAGTAACAGGTGAGTTTGTGTGCAGAAGAGAGAATAGGAGCATTTTAATTTTTGTGAAGTGTATTGAGCAAGTATAGAAGGCATCTCAGAATCATACATGAGATCAATTTGACACAATGTTTAAAATTTAGAAAAAGAAATATCCATTTTTTATTATGTTACAGGGACCCATCTTCATCAATATTGCTTTCCAGATTGGTGGAAAGGCAGTTTTACACATGATTAAAGAAACAGATTATTTTGCTTCCTTTCTCTTACCCCTACCCCAAAAATATGGTGTCTCATCTATATATATGCAGAACAAAGATAATTTAACGCAGTTATATTTTCAGAAAAAGATAATTTCACCCTACCAACACATAGTGTATTTTCTGGCAGAAAGCCACCAACAGAGGAAGAGAGCAGCCCACCACCCTGTTTCCACCTCATTGGCTGGCTGTGCTACTTACCATGATCAAGAACAAACTCTATGCACTGGGTCTGATCATCATAACACTTGATGGTCTCTGAGCCCTTACAGGCTTTTGAGAAAGAAGGAAAACAGGTCGGACACTCCTGCCCATTTAACTTAGGTTGTTGCACTGTGGAAAACAACCACTAAAATCAACACACAGTTTCGGTCCATTTCTCCACCCTCCCTACCTTCCTTTTGTTGCAGTGTAATAATTTCTTATTACCTTTTCAAAAAATTGATATCTATGCATCAATGCATAATCAATTTTTCAGACTCCCCACCCCATTTTCCATGGTGTTTTTACTTCTTTCCCTCTGCTGCACAATACCTTCTATCGTATATACGAACACATCAATACTTTATTCTTTAATTTCTTATGCTGCTCATGTTTCAAATCCTGCTCGTGAGTTCATCCTACAATAATTCCTTAAATAGTCTTAAACGGGGTTCCATTCTTCCACAAAGCAATCATTCTTAGATTCTCTTATTTTGCCTGTTAATTTGCCAATTCTGCATAATCCATCACCTTACTTATCCATTCTTCTTTGGTGGTAACTTCTACTTCCTTCCATTTTTGTGCATAGAGAATCCTAACCCCTGGTGTTACATACAGAAACAAATTAATCTTATTTTTTTGAACTTCTTTCCCCATAATCTCCAGGAGATTTTGTTTTTGTATATAATCACTTCAGACATCTTTTTTATCTCATCATATGTCATTTTCCAAAAAAAACTTCACTGTCTTATAAACCACTTATAAACGAAAGTTCCATGTACCCATTTATACTTCCAACAATTATTTACAACTATTAGCCAATTTGATAAATACCATTTATACATTATTTCCATGTAATTTCCTTTGAGAGTATAATAGGCAGTACATTTCATATCAATTTTTTCCAACCTTTCCCATGCATCCATTTCTATATTATGTGCTAGATCTTTAGCCCATTGCATGATTGCAGATTTAACCAGCTCATCTTTTGTTGTCCATTCTAGTAACATTTCATACATTTTAAATCATTTTTTCTTTTCCTTAAAGCAGAACTTTTTCAACATCAGAAATTCGATCCATAAGACCTTTTAATACATGTTTTCAAAAATACGCATTAATTTGAAAATATTGGAAAAGTCAGAAGAAATGTGAGCTTGGGTATCACCCATCTCCATTTTCTTCTAACTTTTCCAAACCTGCATTTCCTAAAAAACACAATATGTTTTCCTTTCATGTAAGTCTTGATATCAGGTCCACACATTATACAAACTTCTCCTTATACAATTATTTAAAAATTCTCAATGTGCCTTTATCTTATCATACCACAGGTGAACATACCACCCATACCGATTTCCATATCCTTCCAAATCTAACAAATTTGTATTCTGTAAAGATATCCATTCCTTTAACCAAATCAGACAGGCTGCTTCATAATATAATTTTAAATCTGGCAATGAGAATCTATCTCTTTCCTTAACATCTGTTAGTATTTTAAATTTGATCCTTGGTCTTTCCCCCTGCCAGATGAATTTCGATAATTCTTTTTTCCATTGCTTGAAGAAGTCCATGTTACTTATTACCAGAATTGTGTGAAGTAGAAATGACATCTTAGGCAAAATATTCATTTTTATCACCAAGATTCTGTTAGGATATTTCCGTTCCACCTTAAAAGGGAGCAGGCTTTGTGAGTCAGAGTCTGCGTATTTCCTGTTTCACAGGATGTTTCTGTTGTGTCTTTCGTTTTCTCTCTGTGTGTCTGGAGACACTGAAGCAGGCAGTCATGTTTTTCTTTGCTCTGATCAACGCTGAATAAAACTTGTAAATAATGCTCTCCTGCGTGCAACTTCTGCTGTGCATTATCTGCTGATAGAGAGCGTGCATCGGCTCTAGAATGTGGCAGGCTATTTCTGGAGCTCATGTTGCTAATTGCTGATACTGCGTGTCTACGGGAGATCGATGGACCGGACACAGCTTGGGGGCCATGATGGACTTTGTCTCCCTGGCAGTATCCCAACAACAGGTTTTGGGCCCAGATTCACGGCACTTACAGGAGAGTAAGACTGCGACAGACTGCTGAGAGGTATGTGGAGGAAAAGCAAAAGTGAGGCTTTTCGTTGCCGCGGCAAAGTCTCTTTTATGTCCGGCTGGCCTAATTGGTCTGGGAGCTGCGCCAGAGGCTTCGTGATTTATGGGTGCCAAGATAAGGAGTCTCTGAAGTGAATAGGGCTCCTGGCTCAAGTGAATAGCTGAGATGGATCTTTTACACTCCTCAGAAGCTGCTGAGTGCCCAAAGTTAAATGGGCACAATTATGAGAGCTGGGCTGTGTGGTGTGAGAGTTTGCTGCGTCAGTTTGGAGTGTGGCATACTGTGTCTGAAGCCCCCCCAGTTCCTCTGACAGATAGATGGAGGGCCGAAAATTCGAAGGCCATGGTCGTAATAGTCTTGTCCGTCTCTCTGGAGGAGAGAAACGTTAGCTGGCAACGCAACTGCACGTAAGATGTGGAATGCTTTGAAAGTAGCCCATCTGCCAATCATCCCAGCCCAGAGTTTGACTGCATCGGAGGTCCTGGCTGTTTCCCAGAATGCGAGTGAATGCAGGGATGCTGAGGGCACCAGTTGCAAGCTGCAGGGGGAGCTGACTGTGATGTCATCCCAGGCAGCATTCCAGCCTCCAGGGGGAGCCAAGGAGTCGGCAGCTGAGAACTCTGTTTCTCGTGAGAACCAAGGTCATCGCCTTTGCAGAGGCCGGAAGGCCAGAGGTAAACAGAGGCAGATGCCTGCAGATGGCCTGAAGCAGAAGGGGGGTGAAGAGCCCACGCCAGTGGAAAAAAAGGCTTTGTTTTCTGGCACAGCTTCACCAAAGGCTAAAGGCAAGTTTGATGGCCAGGAGCAGGGGGGCAAGCAGCAAAAGCCCACGCTGGTGGAAAACAAGGTTTTGCTTGCTGGAAAAGCTGCTCCAAAAGCCAAGGCCCGATTTATTATTGATTCTGGATGCACCCGCCATGTAACAAAAGACTGGCATCTCTTTATCTCCTTCAAACCTCAAGAAGGTGTGATCCACCTGGCTGACGGAAAGACGTTACAAATTGCAGGAGAAGGGACTGTGAAACTGGCAAGTCTGCACACTACCATCAAAGAAGTACTATATGTTCCAGGCGCTGCAGACATTTTGCTCAGTGTCTCACAGTTGACTGGGCATGGCTTTGAGATTTCCTTCAAGAGGAGCGTCTGTGTCATCAGGAAAGGCAAAGAGGACATTTTGCATGCAAAGTTTATAGATGGATTGTTCTGTATAACTTATGATGACGATGGTGCTGTTGTGTCTAATGTTGATTCTTGGTGTGTTGCACAAACTAACAAAGTTCTTCATGCAGGATGCATTCATGATGCACACAGAAGATTTTGTCACATGTCTTGGCAGGCGCTGGCCAAGATGCCTAAGTTGGTTGAGGGTTTGAACATCAAACCCTGTAAGTTTCACATGAAATGTGTATCTTGTGCAGAGAACAAGGTGAAGGTTGCTCCAAAAGGCAAGGAGTCTAGCAGGCAGGCTTCCAAACCCTACCAGCTAGTCCACGCAGACCTGGTTGGTCCGCTTGCGCCCTCTGTGGGAGGAGCAAGGTACTTCATGGTTCTAATTGATTCTTTTTCCAGGTACATTCATGTGTTTATGCTTGAGCAGAAATTGCAAGCGTTTCCTAGGTTCAAGGCATTCTGTGTTTGGTTGGAGAATGTTCACAGTAAACGTATCAGCTGTCTCTTTACTGATCAGGGTGGGGAATTCACTTCTCAGCAGTTTGAAGCTTTACTGACTGAGAAGGGAATCCAGCATGATTTGTCAAAGACCAGATCGCCATGGATGAATGGACTTGCGGAGCAAGCAAATCAAACGTTGCTGCAAGGAATGAAAACATTGTTTCATGATGCCAATTTCCCTGATAAGTATTGGGGGGAGGCTCTGTCGACTTTTGTTTACACTTTTAATCGCAGATTGTCATCACCTATTGGTTGTACCCCCTATGAGAAGATGTTTGGTAAGAAACCCAACATCAAGCACATGAGAATCTTTGGTTCTGACATGTGGGTACACACCCCACAGAGCAACAAGCTTGGGAAGCACATGGTTTGTTCATGGGGTACGAAAAAGGTGCATACAGGGTATGGATGACTGACTCTAAGTCCATTAAGTTCACAAAGAGTGTTGAGTACAATCCTAAGTGGGGGGGAAATGTGGGAATTTTCCAGAGTTACCCAGAGGAGGATGAAGGTGATGTGAAGAAAGCAGATAATGTTGAGGAAGCTGAGGAAGCTGAGGATGATGATGATGATCAGAGTTCGGATTCCAGTTCAGTGGGCGGCGCTGCTGCTGGTGTCAGCGACAGTGATGACACAGCAGACTACAAGAGCGCAAAGGCCTCAGTCAGACCATCTGATATGTTTGACAATGAACTGGAAGAACCACTGTTCACCATTGGTCACTTTTCTCCTAAGAAGGAGGAGATGAGTCCAGGAGACTTGCGTCTAGTACGCAGATCTGAAAGGGCGACCAAAGGCAGACCTCCAAAGAGATTTGCTGATGAGTTTGCTAAGACAGCAACTGCTGTTCTTAGTAGCTCAGAGAAGGTGTGGGAACCTTCAAGCTTCAAAGAGGTTCAGGAGTTAACCTCTAAAGATGCTGAGCCTTGGCTAAATGCCATGAAGGCTGAAGTTGATTCCTTGAATAGGAACCAAACTTGGGAGTTGGTACCGGTAGTCCCAGGAATGAGACTGGTTGGCAGCAAATGGGTCTTCAAGGCCAAGACAGACCAGAATGGCAAGGTAGTTAGACACAAAGCCAGATTGGTTGCCAGAGGTTTGGTGTACCAGATTGGTTGCCAGAGGTACCAGGACAGGATTACCACGAGACCTGCTCTCCCACAGTCAAATATGAGAGCATTCGGCTGATGCTCAAGATCGCTGCGGAGGAGAAACTGCATGTTTCCCATCATGACATTAATACAGCTTTTTTTGTACGGAATTTTGGGGGAGGAGCTGTTTATGCTTCCACCTGATGGAATGCAGATACAGAAGGGAATGGTCTGTAAACTGCAGAAATCCTTATATGGTCTCAAGCAGAGTGCCAGGTGTTGGAACACAAAACTCACTGAGACATTGCTTTCTCTAGGTTTTCACCAGGGCAAAGCTGATCCGTGTGTGTTTGTCACGGCTTGGGGGCCATGATGGACTTTGTCTCCCTGGCAGTATCCCAACAGATTCTTCCCAAAAGAGAAAGTTTCATTCTACTCCATCTTCCTATTTCTTGTTTAATCTTACTCCACACATTCAGGGAATAATTTTGAAACAGATTTGCATTCATATTTGTTATCCAGATATCCAAATATATCACCTTCTTTTCTATCTTAATATAGTTATTTCTTACAGCTTCTCTTTACCTTGCCGGTTTATATTTTTTGTTAACATTTTAGTCTTATTCTTAGTTATATAAAATTCCTGCTAAATTACCAAACTGCTTTATTACATCCAATACCTTAACCACACTTTCCATCAGGTTTTCCAGGAACAATACCACAACTGCAAATGCCCTCAGTTTGTAAGTTTGAAGGCCCACTTGGAGGCTTCATATATCATTATTTTCTCTAATATCCCTACACACCACTTCTTACCCTATAATAAGCATTAACATTGAAAGCAACCTTGTTTTGTTCCCTTAACAATAATGCATTTTTCTGATAGATACTATTATGTTTGCAAATTGCTCCTTATATATAATGCCTTTATTCCTCTCACAAATCTATCCCCAAACCACATTATAACCAGTAATTTCCCCCTAAAACATCAAGAAATATTATCAAATGCTTTCTCTGCATCTAAAACCATAGCTAATTGCTAATCACTTTTTCTTTTTCAAATAGCATTCCATACAATTCTACCTTTATCTTTTAATTCTCTTGTTGGAAGAACTCCTGTCTGATCTTCATGTATTAAGTTTCTTAACACTTGCTTAAGTATGTGTACCCCTGCATCCCCTCAGAAAAAACTGTACCAACACCATATTAGAAGGGCCAGGATGCCACAATGTAGCTGGTGTTCCAGAAGTGGAGTTATTTCTAGGTAAACAGTTTTTCCATGCCTTCTGGCTTTGTCAGGGAGAATAGAAACAGATGCATCAAATCAGGCCATAGGGGCGCTGTTACTGCAGCAGGATAGGGAAGGAAACTGGAGACCATGCACCTTTCACTCTAGGAAGTTAAACCGCTTTGAACAGAATTGCATGATTTGGGACCGCAAACTGTTAGCGATAGTTGAAGCGCTCAAAAATTGGAAGCATTTTTGGCAGGTGTGCAATGGCAGTTAAAGGTTCACACAGACCATAAGAATCTGGAATACTGGAAAACAGCTCGGCAGTTAAACCAAAGGCAAATCAGGTGGGCAGAATTCTTTGCTGGGTTCAATTTTAAGCTAGAGTATGTGCCAGAAGAGCAAAATGCTCGGGCACATGTGCTGTTGAGAAAGCCGGAGTATTTGGAGGAGCAGTCGCCTCCAACAGTAAAGCACACGTTTGAATCAGAGCAGTGGCAGTGTGCAGCAACGGTAGTAAATGATAGGGAGCTACAGACGTTAACTGCTGATGATGGGTATGCAAGGAAGAAGTTAGCTGAACTGAGCCAATGGAGAAGTAGAGAAGGTGGTTTCAAAGAGAGAGGAGGCTTTCTCTATTACAAGGGGGCGCAGTATATACCAGGAGATGAGCTACGAGCCAAAGTTCTCAGGCAGCATCATGATAGCCCCACTGCAGGGCATTTTGGTCACAGCAAGACCATATACCTAGTCACTAGGGAATTCTGGTGGCCCAAGATTAAGGAGGATACCGCAGAATACACGAGGGGGTGCAAAGTCTGTCAGAGAGCCAAAGGGCAAAGGACAGCCCCAGCTGGGCTGTTACAACTGTTACCCACCCCAAGTAAACTGTGGGAAGTGGTGTCCATGGATTTTATTACCGACCTGCCAGTGTCACAGAAAAAAATAGTTATTTGGGTGGTGGTAGATGTGCTGAAAAAGATGGCACATTTTGTACCTTGCTCTAAGATACCTTCCGCACAGGAGACAGCAGGGTCGTTCGTGGATCATGTGTTTAAGTTGCACTGTATGCCATTAAGGCTAATCACGGATCGCGGAAGTCAGTTTTCTTTGCATTTCTGGAGGAAGTTAATGCAGTTGTTAGGGGTGGAGGTCAGAGAGGACCAATGCCACCTTGCAACAATACTTGAGGTGCTACACATGCTACCAGCAAGACGATTGGGTAGAGAAGTTGAACCTGGCCGAGTTTGCGGACAACAACGCAGTGCACACATCCATGGACATGGCACCTTTTGTGGCGAACTAGGATGTGCATCCCAGGGCCTTTCTGGGTAGGGAAGAGGTGCTGTCAGTACCAGCAGCTGAGGAGTTTGTGGAGGAAATGGAGTACTTGCATAAGATAATGAAAGAAAACCTGGAAACATCGAAGGCAGCTTACAAAAGGACCTCAGACGCACATAGGCAGGAGGGAGAGAAAATCCAGGTAGGAGACAAGGTGTGGTTGTCCTCAAAGGGGTTGCCATTCAAAGGGAGGTGCAAGAAGCTAGAGCCAAGAAGGCTGGGGCCATTTGAGGTGGTGCAGGTGTCCTTTAGGCTCTGGTTGCCAGAGACAATGAGGATACACCCAGTATTCCACAGGGCTTTGCTGTCTCCATTTATTCCAGCACTCTGGTACCAGGGGGAGAGGACAGAACATCCTCCCCCTCCTACACTGGTAGAAGGAGAGGAGTACGAAGTTCAGGAAATCTTAGATTCCAGATGGCACAGGAGGAAACTACAATACCTTGTAGCTTGGAAAGGCTTTTCATCAGCCGAGAACTCCTGGGAACTGTTGGAGCATGTCCATGTGCCACGATTGCAGAGGGAGTTTCATAGGAGACACCCCCACAAGCCCAAACCTAGGAATTGGGCAGAGCCAGAGAGTAGTTTGGACAGTGACAAAGAGATAGAGCTACCGGAAGATTTGGACCTCCCCCCTGCAGACAGAGAGGAGGAAGGGGATTGGGGAGGGCTTAGAGATGGAGGATTATGTCAAGAAGGATTTGGAGGAGCAAAGGACAGAAGAGGCAGAACAGGGGCTCGGGGATGCTGAAGAGCCCTGCAACCACCCAGAGACAGAGGTAGCAGAAGAGGGGGTGGAGAGTCGCCAGGGAGAGCAGGGGCTCAGGGATGCTGAAGCGCCCTGCAAGCACCCAGAGGCTTCGGAAGGAAGCTCAGACTCAGGAAGGGAGGGGGCTTTCAAATCAGCACAGACAAGGAGGGAAATGAAACAAGGATCAAAGATGTCTCACGCAATTCCCACACCTACTTTGTTGGCATGGGAATCATAGGAAGCCACTCCCCAAATCTGACTCAACGGGTTTGGAAGTGTTATTCTGAACTGTAGCTATTTCTTGTATATATGTAATAAAGACTGTAAATACGAAGCTGACTGTGCTGGAATGTTACTGCGAAGGGGAAACACCACCTTTACAGGCTTCCATCAAAGTGTCTCATTGCACCAGAAGCAGTTTAGTCATGCTGGCCACATGATCTGGAAAGCTGTTGCAGACAAATGTCAGCTCCCTCGGCCTAAAAAAGTGAGGTGAGTGCTGCACTACATAGTTAATTTCAACTGGACTTAACTGTCTAGGGGTACTTTACCTTTACATTTTTCCTTACTATGAGGTATCATGGGGACCACCTTTGGTGTCCTCTAACCAGCTACAGGGAAGCTGTGATCTATCTTGGGCTTCATCAAAGATCTCCAACGGCAACCAAGGAAAACCCTTAAAGCCTCAATACTATTTATGCTTGAGGATATAGACAAACACGCATATACTTACATTGAAAAAATTTCTTGTAGCAGTCTTTAGCATGACAGCAGAACCTGATATCCCGCAAGAAATGATCTTTTCCTGAAGTGAAAATGTAGTTCCCTGAGGTGCAATCTGTAGTACATCCCATTTCAGTTTCAAGCTTTGCAGAGCCATCTGTGAGAGATAATTGGAATACCTAGATCAGCTAAAATTCAAATCATTACTCTCCTGAATGATTTTTTTTCGATGCTCCCTTATAAACATACGTTGTGCAAATGGGTGAATAAAGAAAAAGAATCTGGCAAGTACTGAATTAAGCAAGCTAATCGTTAAAGTTGTTTCTTCCTGAATCAGTATAAATTACTCTGCCAAACCATGTGAATATTCCAGGATAGTTCTTAGAGAGTGGAGAATACAGTTTTCTCTTTCCTCTAATTTTCTCCTTCTCTTAATCTAACTTCTGACTGCATATCTCAAGGGAATAAATCTTTTTCCATGCATCTTTCTATGGGGAAATGTCTGAATAAGTTTTCCTTTTTCATGAAAAATATTTTTGTAGGTTCAGCTGCTGTCAGATTGTAACCAAAAGGGTCTGGAGTTTTGTGCTGCTTCTATATATTACAGGCCTATTTGACAAGAGGTGGGCTGGCCTGGATCGGGTAGATTCTTCCTGATTGGTTTGAGAATCTCCATTCCATCCCTCCTTTCCAGGAGTGCAGTTTGCAGCCCAGCATGACTGTGGATGGGTTTGGTTTGGTTGTCTGATGGGTTTCTTGCAGACATTCCTGTGCAAGGAGAAACTCAAAAGAACAAGGGAGCCAATCAGCCTGCCTTTTAGAGTACAGAACTAGCTACTTTGGGGTATGGTATGTAGCAAATGTGCTTTCCATAACAGTGAAAAGGACAACTTGTTAGAATCTATTGTGGCCATTGTATGCACAGAAAGAGAATTGGTTTCAACTATTAAGATTCCTTTGATCCTTTGATTGGTGAAATGAAATCACGTGTAATCTAGAAGTGTATAAAAAAACCCAACATTGATTTGGATGTGGTTCTTTACAGTCTCCTCCTTATTTTTGAGGCTGTGCCTATGCAGATTTGCATTTCATTACAGGCCTATCTTTTCACTTGGCGCCTACATCCTTTCCTTTTAGGTTTCTGGGAGGAAAGCCTCCATTCTAAGAAACTCGTTTGAAATGTCAGGCATCTGATAACTGTGATAGAGAGCTTTGTATTTCTTCTTCATTTCTTGTTCCTTCACTTCTTTATTTTATCCCTTTCTTATTCTTGCTTTTATGCTTCCTTTTTCTTTAGATTAGCTTGGCTTTTATTGTATTTTATGCTGAAAACTTTCAATAAAAATGATTTAAAAATTACAAAAGGCAAAACTAATTAAAACTAATTAGGTTTTGGTTTCCGGCCTGACATCATGGTCATGGTGGTTGAGCTCTTCTGCCCTCCAGGGCAGGGTAGCTGCCTGGACAGGGGAAAGCCAGGATTTATGAGGTAAAATTCCTGGCAATGCTTCCCAGGGGTCTGGGGAGTGCACGGTATCCCACGGTGTCACTTAAACTCATATCTCCCAGCTTGAAAGGCAGTGCGGGTGCAGCCTGGGAAATGTGTCCCTGCCATGGACAAACCTCCATTTCTGGCATGATCTGTGATCAGTTCCTCAAGAATTTGGAATATTGCATTAATTATGGGGCACTCCTGTAATGGCATATGGTAAAGGGCTGCAACTAATCAGCTGCCAAAAGGACTGGACTTGAGCCCTGAAGTTATCTTAAAGATTTTCAACAAGCGCAAAAAGACTTACAATAGCCAGAATGGGAGGGGAGGCAAAGCAATGTTTACTCTGAAGGTTTCTAAATGGCTCCCCCCCCCCCCGTTGACCTTTCCTGCAACACGAAAGAATAATGTGCAGACATTTAGAGGTTATCTGTTATCTGGAGGAACAGAGAGGACCAATGATTTATGCCCAATTAAGAGTTTTACAATATATATATATATATATATCTTCCTCTCTCGACTGAAGAGGAATGGATTTTATATACAGTTTCTTTGAACTGGATGAAGAAAGAGTGGATGAGAGAGTGGTTTCCTAAGGACTGCTACTGTATTTTTCGCTCTATAACACGCACCTGACCATAACACACACATCGTTTTTAGAGGAGGAAAACAAGGGGGGGGGGATTCTGAATGAAACAGTGGGTGTATCATTTTTGTGCCTCATGCTGTGGCCACAGACATGTGATCTGATGGTGAATTTGGGGTGACCCAATGCAAAGATCCTGAGGATCCATGTGGATCCATGCTTTGTAACCACGTTTTTGCACCATTGCAGCCCCAGGTAACAGTGGGTGGGTGATTTTTTTGGTGCAGGCTGTAGCCATGGACATGTAATGTGATCTGATGGTGAATTTGGGGTGACCCAATGCAAAGATCCTGAGGATCCATGTGGATCCATGCTTTGTAACCACGTTTTAAGTGGGGAGGGAAGGAAAAACACAGAAGGGACAAGGAGCACGAGAGGGGTGTGCAGAGAAGCAGCTGGCTAAGAATGCAGGAGAGGGATTTAACAGGAGGGAGGAAAGGAAGGCAAACATTTTCCCCCACCCAACCACCCAAGCCATCCCTCTCTCTCTCTCTCTCTCCCACCTGCATGTTTTCCAGCTGCTTGCGAGTCCCTAAAATGCTTCCCTGGACACAGCAGCACCGGAGCACAGAGAGGAATTAGAAGGAAGGACGCGATCCTTTCTGTTCCCCTCTGCTTGCCTGGAGGGGAGGGGATTTCCCTGCTCTTTGTTCCATTTGAGCAAACAGCAACCAAAACAGAAGGGGGTGGGCATTAAGACACTGAGGCAGAATGCAGGAAAGCAACAGCTTCCTCTCTTCAGGCGTCCCTCCTCCCTGACGCACGCGTGATCAGATTTTTGTCTGATTTTTGCCCCTGCACTCAGGCCAGTTGGCTCAAGGGAACACACATTCGCTCAATAACACGCACAGACATTTCCCCTTACTTTTTAAGAGAAAAAATCTGCGTGTTATAGAGAGAAAAGTACGGTAATTAGACTTCCCAGGAGTTTATAAATATGATTTTGATTTTTAACTGCGAGCTGTGGAAAACAATCCCCAGGATTTTAATGGCAGAGAAGGCATCTTTTCGGGAGTTATTTATAACTTGGAACGTCCTTGAAAAACGGAAGGGATGTTTTCAAAGGAATGGAATGGACTGAGAAAGTTGGCAATTAATCTCTCTCCACTCTAAGTCTGTGAACAGACTTCTGAAAAGGCTGCACATGTGAGATGGTTATTTTATATGTTTGGGAAATATCAATGGTGCTGTGTGTAAAAAAAACCAAGAATGTTAGCTAGGGAAATGGATTACGACTAATAGAAGGAGGTGATTAAAAGAGAAGAATGAATGTGGCAATATCAGGAAGCAATGGACATATGTTTGTGAAAGGAGCAGGAAACCTTTTTTGTAAAAAAAAAAATGCATTAAATTTAAATGATCTGGATTGATTTGTTAAAATTCTGAAAACTAATAAAAATTAATTTAATTTTTTGTTAGCTTTTACTACTGTAACCACTGTTTGCTGGATCAGCCAATTCTTGCAACTCCCCCCCCCCCACGAAATTTAGTTCATTTTCCTTTTCTTGTTTTTACCCTGAACCTGATTTGATTTATAGATTAATAGCTCCTGTAAAAGTAGCAAACAAGGTTCCGATTCAGTGTCACACCTCATCCATATCTTAATGATGTTCCTTTCTTCAACTCGATTCTGTATATTGATGACTTTTGTAAAAGAAATGACCATGATAAATTCATGTCTGGTTATGTTGTGGTATCTGACTCTTCAAGGTGCCCAAATTCCTGAGGTCATCACTTCTATTCATGCCTACACCAAGCCTGGAGAATTGTTTATGATACTGTACCATTCTGTGTGCCAAAATGTGGGGGGAGATTAATTTTCTTATTTCTGTGGATTTTTCTATACATACTTTGGTTCCTCATTTATTCCCTTTTTCTATATCTTAAAATGAAAATATTTTGCTTTTAGGAAATAGGAGAGCCAAACATTCAGCTCCTCTTGGCTCTGTTCCTGGCTGTTTCATGATTTTTTTTATACTTTATAACTAAAAAGATTTCTATTCCTTAGTGATTGCAGTTTTCTCCCCCAAAGGGAAAAAATAAAGAAAATGCTGTTGTTAATTTAGTCCTAGTGATGTTTATGTCAACCTAAATGTTATTCCTGCTCTTGGTTCATAAGCATGTTCAGGTGTCTCATAGGCCACAAGAGTGTGAAAAGGGAGAAAATGTTAAATATTGAATATTGTTGTGCGTTATGCTGGGTTTGTCAATAGATGCCACATAACACAAGGTAATTTCTTGGTTTTGCTAATTACATTAGTCAAGGAAGGGTAAATTGTGTACAGTGTGCAAGTTATGCCCCTGGGTTCATCCCAAATAAAATCTTAAATTGTGAGTTTAATAAAATCACTGCAAACACCACCCATAAATCAAACATAGGTCCCATAAAATACTTTTCAGGGTGGCATAAGTAGCACAGTCATTCCATGTTGTCCAACCATCATATGGTTGCTGCAAGCTGGAAAATATTGAGATGTCACTACTGGATATGTGGGGAGTGAGTCTGAGTATTTCCCCCATATTGATTGGCATTTGTTATGTAGTGTATGTACTTCCACCTGTGTGAGTATAAAATATTCTGCCTTAAAATGAATATGGAATCATTCCTTTCCAAAAAAAAATAAAAAAAAAATGGGGGAACGATTGGGAAAATATTAATTTCATGGAACTGTATCATTTGGATTATTCCATATTCTTTTGAGCCTAGGACCTATGGTTTTCTGGGAGACATACCTCCAGTCTATGAACCCTTTCAATTTTCCCAACAATGGGATTGGAAGCCCCTTTCCCCCAAAACATCATGCCATCTGGAAAGACTGCAATCTTTGTCCCTACACCCAGCTCAGGGGATCAGGGAAAAGAGCAACCCTTACCAGTAGCTTCTTGGGGTTTGCTAGATGTTGCCATAGGTGAACTCTAATGTTGGTCATTCCCAACTGTCTTTCAACCAACAGGAGGACTGGTTGATCATTGGTTGAACACATGTCTTCTTGTATTCATCACTGGCTACACACTTGACCACTGCATCACTTGTGTTTGAACCCACAAAGAGTAGACTCTGATTATGTTGGGTACTAATGAGTGGAGAGTGACCTGCCAGTGAGGTATTGTTACTTAGGATTTGGCCATTGGGAAAACCAGTTGGTGATGGAGCTGTAAGGCAAAAGCCAGAGAAAGATGAGGCCTAAATATTCATGCATAATGTCTTAACAGTAATCAGGTGGCAAAGCTCAGAAGAAGGTTGCCAGTGGTTCTCCAAGGCTAAGAGACTGCCCTATGGAAAGGTGTGGAGGAGGCTACACACTTTATTAGTTATTGACATGGAAAAGAGCCATCTCACTGCCTGCTTCCCAACACTGGAAATCCCTCCCAGGAGAAGCTAGATAGCCTCCTTTCTTGTCCTACTCCTGGCAGGTGAAGACCTAGTCCCAACAGGCTTTTGAGGAATTACTGTTTTTATTGAAAAGGTTGATACCACTTTTATTTCAATCATTGATACATTTTACACATATTTTATATAGTTTTAATTCTACTAATATTTAATTAATTGTTGGGGGGGGGAATTTCTCAACACTGGGTGAGATCCGCATTCTGTCCCCCCCCCCCCCCCGGATATGCCAGGGTCCAAATGATGGACCCACACACTCAGGTTTAATCTGACAGAAAGGATTTATACTCACTAAATCTTCTGCCAATAACACGAAAAAAGCAACTGCCACCTTCGGAAGTTTCACAGGTGCCTTTTGAATCACTGTCATTTAGTTTCTTTACTTTACATGTCTCAGCTGTCACTGCAGAGACAAAAGAAATATTCAGCACCAAATACATCAGTTCCTCAGGCATTGAGAAATGGAATCTACATTCCCACCTGGATACAATCTTCCAAGCCGGACATGAGCAACCTTATTGGTCTCAGGATCCACATGTAGTGGTGGGTTGATGTAGGTATGCACACTGACACATATCTCACACACAGGAACATCTCCAGACACAAAGATGTAGACACACAGTCTTCATCCATTTTACTATTATGAATGCATACATTAAAGCAGGGATGTCCTCCCCCACAACACACAATGAGGTGCACAATGGGATTTTAGCAGTCTCATTGCATACTTTCACAGGCAGCACACATGTTGTATGTGAAGAAAGCCAACCTCATGAAACAGAATTACACTCCACAAAGCTGTCTTTCAAAATTTGGAGTCCAGATTCCCACTATTCTAATAGTTTTAGCTTCATTTATCCTTCCTAGAGCCAATATCAGTTTGCCTTCTCTAGCCCACTGCATATCCCCCCCCTCCATTTGAAAAAGCAATTCAAGATTGCAGCTTCCTACTCACCTTCAGAAAGGATGGCCAAGAAGAGACAAGTACTCAGGAAGATCTTCATAGTGCTGGAGAGATCAAAAGCTGAGGAGAACTCAGTTCAAAGAAGCAGGCAACTGGTGGAGGAAGAGGCTGCCTTGGGGGATTTATAGGCTAAGAAGAGGAGCCCTAGGCAGAACTGATCCAGTGAGGGGATGGGAAATGATGACAGTAGAGATTGCATGCTTTCCCAAACATTTTGTAATTTTATATTGGAACACAAAGCATGGAGTAGAAATTGCATTAAGTCATTTTTGGGAACTGTATGAAATTCTGACAGCTGCCTCTTCTTTTGCATTCTCAGGGATAAGAAACATATATTTTAAATCCTTAAATCACCTTTGGAAAGCCCATGAAAATTCACCAAATAACTTTCCAGTCTATCCCACCCCAATTTCACCACAATGGGAGCCACTCTTACGGAACCACTCTTCTTCAGAAAGTACACTGAATGAACACCACTTTGAGACAATTGGAGTTTGACTGCTATTAGAATATTTCCTTCTACGTTCAAGTGGCTAGAACACACATCATCTTGGAAATACTGAGCAAAGATTTCAAAGGTGTTAGTTACATAGTATAGCCACTCATGTTGTTTATGCACAGCAAAATAATTTCCCTATCTTCATTAATCGCATCATGACTCCACTAATACAAGGCTATATTTTTAATGAGGAATGCTGAGTCATACCAGGAATTTAGTTATCTCAAACATATTATTATTATTATTATTATTATTATTATTATTATTATTATCATCATCATCATCATCATCATCATTTATTTATTTATACCCTGCCCATCTGGCTGGGTTTCCCCAGCCACTCTGGGCGGCTTCAAACAAAATATTAAAATACAATTGTCTATTAAACTTTAAAAGCTTCCCTAAACAGGGCTGCCTTCAGATGTCTTCTAAAAGTCTGGTACAGTGGTACCTCAGGTTACATATGCTTCAGGTTACATACACTTCAGGTTACAGCCTCCACTAACCCAGAAATAGTACCTTGGGTTAAGAACATTACTTCAGGATGAGAACAGAAATCGTGCTCCGGCGGCACAGCAGTGACAGCAGGCCCCATTAGCTAAAGTGGTGCTTGAGGTTAAAAACAGTTTCAGGTTAAGTATGAACCTCTGGAATGAATTAAGTACTTAACCCGAGGTACCACGGTAGTTGTTTTTCTCTTTGACATCCGGTGGGAGGGCATTCCGCAGTGCAGGTGCCACTACCGATAAGGCCCTCTGTCTGGTTCCCTGTAGCTTGGCTTCTCGCAGTGAGGAAACCGCCAGAAGGCCCTCAGCACTGTACCTCAGTGTCCGGGCAGAAAAATATGGGTCGAGACGCTCCTTCAGGTATACTGGACCGAGGCCGTTTAGGGCTTTAAAGGTCAGAACCAACACTTTGAATTGTGCTTAGAAATGTAATGGGAGCCAGTGTAGGTCTTTCAAGACCAGTGTTATGTGGTCTCGGAGGCCGCTCTCAGTCACCAGTCTAGCTGTCGCATTCTGCATTAGTTGTAGTTTCTCGGTCACCTTCAAAGGTAGCCCCACGTAGAGCGCGTTGCGGTAGTCCAAGCGGGAGATGCACCACTCTGGCGAGACAGTCCGCGGGCAGGTAGCGTCTTAGCCTGCGTACCAGGTAGAGCTGATAGACAGCTGCCCTGGACACAGAGTTAACCTGCACCTCCATGGACAGCTGTGAGTCCAAAATGACTCCCAGGCTGCGCACCTGGTCCTTCAGGGGCACAGTAACCCCATTCAGGACCAGGGAGTCCTCCATACCAGCCTGCCTCCTGTCCCCCCAAAACAGTATTTCTGTCTTGTAAGGATTCAACCTCAATCTGTTAGCTGCCATCCATCCTCCAACCACCTCCAGATACTCACACAGGACCTTCATTGCCTTCACTGGTTCTGATTTGAAAGAGACGTAGAAATGGGTATCATTCGCATACTGTTGAACACCCAGCCCAAACCCCCTGATGATCTCTCCCAGCGGTTGCATGTAGATGTTGAAAAGCATGGCAGAGAGGACAGAACCCTGAGGCACCCCAGAAGTGAGAGCCCAGGGGTCAGAACATTCAGCCCCACCACCACTTTCTGAACATGGCCCAGGAGGAAGGAGCGGAACCATTGTATAACAGTGCCCCCAGCTCCCAGCCCCTCTAGATGGTCCAGAAGGATATTACGGTCAGTGGTGTCAAAAGCCACTGAGAGATCCAGCAGAACTAGGAAACAGCTCTCACCTTTGTCCCTAGCCCACTGGAGATCATCGACCAGTGCAACCAAGGCAGCTTCAGTCCCATGATGAGGCCTGAATCCCGACTGGAAGGGATCCAAACAGTCCGCTTCTTCCAGGCGTGCACAGTTACCCCATTCTGGTCTAGGGAGTCACCCCCCCACACCTCATCCCCCAAGAACAGTACTTCTGTCTTGTCAGGACTCAACCTCAATCTGTCAGCTGCCATCCATCCAGCAACCGCCTCCAGACACTCACCCTGGATGATTTAATACATACACACCAGAAAATGCATCTATGTACACAACTGAACTGAACTTGGGCCACAGTCCAGCCCCACAAACTCAGGGCCCATCTATCCTGGATCCTTTCCAAAATTAGTTCAGAGGCATGACTAATGTTTCAGACCCTCCAAGTGTCCCTATTTTCCAGGGGCTGTCCCAGATTTTCAGAAGTTTCTGATTTGATCCCAGAATATCCTAATTATATATATTTGACCAGGAAGGAGGGGAGATTTTGTGTTTTTGTCCCCCTGTCAAATTATGAGCAAATGGATCCAATTTTGATGAGTTCTTTCACAAAATTGTAGAACAAAAGCTAAAGGATACCTATTCAGATCCTCGTGTGATTCAAGGCTTATAAAAAGCAGAAATAGCAGAATCGCTGCGCATCCTTGTATGCTGTATAGAATGTGGGTATTTAGCCAGTGATGAAGCACCACAGAGGCAGATTTAGAGGATCATGGACTGCGAGAAGATGAAACCTATCCATTCTAAAGGAAATCAGCCCTGAGTGCTCACTGGAAGGACAGGTCCTGAAGCTGAGGCTCCAATACTTTGGCCACCTCATGAGAAGAGAAGACTCCCTGGAAAAGACTCTGATGTTGGGAAAGATGGACGGCACATGGAGAAGGGGACGACAGAGGATGAGATGGTTTGACAGTGTTCTCGAAGCTACTAACATGAGTTTGACCAAACTGCGGGAGGCAGTGGAAGACAGGAGTGCCTGGCATGCTCTGGTCCATGGGGTCATGAAGAGTCGGACACGACTAAATGAGTAAACAACATAGAATGCAAGGTGAGAGATGGGGGGAGGCAACAAATTTTGGTGTCTCACAGGGTGCCACTGAAATTTGACCCCAAAGTCTGCCAGTGGCCACCAGATTATACAGAGAGCAAGTGATGGGGAGATATCTGAGGTCAGAACTGCCAAAGCATTAGTTATATATAGCCATGTTTCTATTCCTCCAAAATAATGAAAGGGGGGGGGGAGAGGAATGATGCCTTATTTTTCTGAAGCAGATTTAACTTTAGACCCCCCAAGAAGAATTGTTTCACAACAAAGAGGCCTGTTTTCTTGAACGTAAATGAGCAATAAACCCTTGACAGGGAGTGCCTTTCTGCTGAAGTAAATCCATCTCCTTCATTCTTCATTTCCTGGAGGATTTTGAAAATTCCTATTCTCCCAGGCATTTAAAAGCTGAAAGGCGCTGCTCCTAGCAGCCTTGAATTTACTGTATTATCCGGAACCAGTTATTGCTAATTTTCAATGTTCTTAATGTTTCTCAACCTTTCCAGATTTTTTTAAAAAAACAGTTTCTTAATATACATTTTACTTTTATATTTACTAGTGTCTTTTTTCTGTTGTCACCTGTCCTGGTTCCTTCAGAGGAATGGTGGGGTTGCAATACATTTTAATAAATGAATATGGCTGAAAACAAAATACTGATCCTTTAAGGATTGTACGTCTAACACCTAATTCTGCTTCCTGCAGATTTTTAACAGATCTGGCTTCTTATCCAATGACAGCTAGGCACCCTCAGGAGTCTTGCACTTTGAAAAACCAGTTGAATATTCAGCCTGAGTTCCTTTGCAAGGAATGATGGGATGGAACTTTAATAAATAAAATCAAATAAAAAATGAAGTGTCAACAGTCCTGCTCCATGTCGATTATAAAGGGGGTGCATAGTCTGTCAAAGTCTTCTCTCTTATGGTTTATTGAGACCCCAGATAGAGAGATATGGAGCTGCATTTGTTTCCCAGGACAGGGGATCCCAACCCTGGGTACATATTATAAAAGGGCCCCATAGATTCTCAAACTGCTGTCTCTTTTGCTTCCCTCACTCAGGCACATGGGCAATTGTATCCAATTAGAGAAAATATGAAAGCACAGTTTTTTGGCAGGTACATTATGGCACACCTGAAGCCAATAAGGAGTTTGGCTGCTGTAAGAAGATTTGCTGTAAATTTCAGCTGACCAGAATTTGCATCAGCCTGCTAAATCTCCCCACAACTGGTTTCCAGAAGCAGACATTAAGTGCCAAATTGCCCCAAATGGCAGACATAGAACTTAACCATCAAGTTTAGTAGCCATCAATCCACAAATTCATGGAGGATGAGGGTAATCCGCAATTTAGCACATTCAAGTTGTTGGCCACCATTACTTCTTCTTCTTTTTTATTAAAAAAAATGATATTTATTAAGTTTTCAAAGGAAAAAAATTACATAAATAAAAAGATTAGAAGAAAAGACAAAAATAAAATAAAATAAAATAAAAAGAAATACAAAATACAGAAAAAAGATAAAAAACATTTAAAAAGAAAACACATCAATCTTTCCATGTCATATATTCATATCCTTGCTTCCCTGACCTCCTCACACCTCCCTTTTTTGTATTCCAGTTCAGTTAGTTAATTCAGCAATTTCTTTCCCTCTTTGTTTTTATCTTAATCCTTTAACTTAATATAACTTTGAGTTCTCACCTATTAATAATCCATTTTTCATACACCTTTA